TAGATCTCACCTTCTCACGCGCCACGATTGGTCAATTATATACAATAACTGCATGTTATTGGTCAAACTACTTTGGATATTTTAGGCAATATAAAAATCCTGGCCAGGACGTGTCCCGTATGAATGGCACATATGGCCACCCTATTTATGTTCCACAGAAGAAAGAAAGTAATACAGGTTTGTAACAACATAAGGAGGAGTAAATGACAGCATTTTCATTTTTGGGAAAAACAACCCCTTTTACAGAGGTGTTTATAGAGATTAATTAAGGAAGATGAGCAGAATACAGTATAATAATCAATACTGAAGCTAACTTGTAGTTCACCAAGTTATGAGTTACTAATTTAACGTAATTAAATAATAATACATCTGAATATTTCTTAAAAAGAAAAAATAAACTTACAAAAAATAAAGCCATTTAGGTCAAGTAATTTATAGAGGATGTTTAAAACAGAGGTTGAGCTGAAATGTTGTACAAAATAGAAACAAATAAAATAAAAATTAACAGATAAGTACATTTAAAAAACGAAACAATCAATAGAAGAAAAAAACAAGAAAAACTATAGATACATAAGTTTTTTATAAATGAATATCAAAGGTACACAAGGTACATTTACACTAAATACAGAAAATAAATAAAATAAACAATTTATATAGCTGGGTTACTGAGTTGAGCAATAAACAGCAGCATTTAACTTAATATTTCCCTATTATAAATAAATAAACAAAATAATTTTAATCTTGAATTATGAATCATTTTATGAACCAACCAGTTCACTAGAATGACTCACATTTTTGTGCTATGAAAGATGAGAGATTGGTTAATCAATGGGATAGTTTGCCCAAAAATGAAAATTCTTGCAGAATTTAACCAACCTCACGTCAATCAAAACCTGTATGACTTTCTTTCTTCTGTGGAATATACTTTGGAATACTTTCAACAGAAGAAAGAAGTAAGCTTTGGAACAAGATGAGGGTGATTAAATGATTTTTTGGGTGAACTATCTCGTTAACATTAAACAGCAATGTAGTATTTGGTTGCGTTTCACCTACTTGCCGGTCACTTCCCATCACTGGTCAACCTGTGCAAAAGGCCGCTTTTTTGACAAATGACATATGTTTGTGCAAAGCTGTTGCGTTTAGAGTTTAATATATTGGATCAACTCAGTGGGGCCTCAAAGTTAAGAGAACGGCTTTCATGACTCCCCACATGATCAGACATTGACACTTGACACTGCGAATGATGGCCACTCCATGTCTTTGAAAAAGAGCATCAAAAAACAGCCCATCACATCCCTTTCTTTCCTCTGTCCTTTCATTCTCCCACATAGCAACTTTTTTCCCCTTTCTCTCTCTCTCCATCTGATGGCTTGCTCTCTCCCCCTCTCTGGATTCTGTGCTGTGGGTCCTCCTGACAAAGGGAATTGTAAGGATGAGCCTAACTGGTATTGGCCCACACAATGGGCCTGAAGAATGCAGAGAGGGACAAAGGGTAGCCATTGGCTGGGTTAGCCCTGGGGTGACAGATCCGAATGGACGGATGAACACGGGGGCTGTGCTCAGGTCTGTGAGGGACCAGCCAACCCCCTGCCAGGCCTGCCCGAAAAGCGCCGTGGTCAGGGCCCGCAAACAATCGACCAGCGCTAACTAGCCATCCCGCTTGGTTCTCCCCCACTCGTGGTGATTGATATGGGAAACGCAGAGCGCACTGTCCCGTTATTGTGCTTTCAGCCTGCAATTATCACCCTCGCCTCATGCAAATATCAGAGATTAGGTCGCTAGCATTTAACTCTGATTTTGTATACATAACAGGTTTAGATGGGCCATCGAATACCACGGTTATGCCCAGCACCCGACGAAAACGTCTGAAACGAAGAGACTAATAAAAGCCCTCGGCTGACATTAAAGAATGGAGGCATGGAAATGTGCTCATATGTGTTGCTGTAAGAGTGAATGGCTTCACCCATGGGATGATAAATTAAAAGAGAGGTGTGGATTTGCATGGTGGTCAGGCATGTGATGTGTGTGAACATTTTTTGGGCAGCACATGTGCTGTTCTTCAGGGTTTTATAGAGTACCTGAACAAACCAAAACACCATTAAATTAAATTTCATCCATCAATTGTATTAATATACGGTGTAAACATTACTCTACAAAAATGGTTCTCAACCAGGGGACCGGGGCCCATAAGATGGCTTAAAAGGATATAAAATAAGGGTGCTTTCACACCTGGCTCGTTGTTTCGGAACCTGGCGTGTTTCCCCCCTTAGCTGTTGTCGCTCCATCCTGATGGATGACAGCCGTGACAGCTAAGTGGAATACCGGAAAATAAACCGTGGAACTTTGACCAATGAGACAACAGTTTACTCGCGCGTGACTTTTATTAACAAATTTAGTCCGTTTAGAAACTTTGCAAGCAAAGCAATCGATCTACAGGTGTGAAAGCACCCTTAATCACACCTCTTTGATCCAGTTAGTTCCCAATGGATAAAATCAAGTTTCTATTCAACATATTACTCGGACGTGACTTTTATTAACAAATTTGGTCCATTTAGAAACTTTGCCGTGTGAAAGCGAACCGCACCAAGAATAAAAAGCAACACTGTAATAATTTTAATCCCCGTTTCGGAACAAAGCAATCGATCTACAGGTGTGAAAGTACCCTAAGATAAAACAGGCATTACAATAAGCCCAAACAACTAAAATCTTTAATTTACCCCCAAAACGACTGTCTTGCAAAACCTGGATTTCTAGACTTGGACAAGTAATATAATAAAATCTTACAATGAATATACATTTTTCTGGTAATGCCAAAGCTAAAAATAATTTACTGATTAGAAATTGAGTAAAAAAAATATTTTTTGTATTTTTAATATTTATTAAAGATTAAAGTGATTATTACCTTTTGAATATGGATATTTTATTTACAAAAACGCATCTATTCGCTACAGGAGGCCTTAGTTCACCCCCCGGGGCCGTGTGAGACATTTTTTTTTTATGGATGGGCACTTTTTATTTCACTTCTTTTGGACTAAAGCCCTGCGACACCCGCTGACTGCAATGATAGAGCTTGGAATAGCCAGGACCATTTTTAATATAACTCAGACTGGATTCGTCTGAAAGAAGAAAGTCATATACACCTAGGATGCCTCGGGGATGAGTAAAACACAGCCTAATTTTCATTTTTGGGTGAACTAACCCTTTAAGTAAATCACAAACAACTTGAAAAGTCACAAGGCCTTTGAATATTGTTTTCTTAATTGCTGAACAACTTTTTGAACCGAATTGAAACAATAAAGAACTAAATGGAGCTGAATAATGAGACTATTGTCATCTGTAGAGCTGGTTTACAGCTGAAATAGAATTAATTTCATAAATGATCTATTTTACAACATTAACACTGTTATTTCCTGTTTATTCATGTAAAGCTGCTATGAAACAATCTGTATTGTACAAAGAACTCTATAAATAAATGTGATTCGACTTGATAATGGGGGGCCTTGGAGTTGAAAAGGTAGAGAATCATTGCTCTATTGCCACATTAATCTATTTAATAAGCAATTTCTATTATTGTCTGTTGCTATTTAAGCTTCATCACACCTTCACATACTGCTAACCTGCAAATAACACACAGGAAAAAGTGTCAGCATGTTCACACTCACATGGACACATCTGCTGCCTGCCAGAAAATGTAAAAATACTGTCCATACACATGCATGAACATCTTCTAAAGAGCATTTCTACAGTAGTGAAGCTGGTGATACAGATACAAATTCAAATGGCATCATTGCAATACACAGAGCAAATCCAGAAACATCCTCCAGTTACATAATATTAGAGGAAGCATCTGCAGATGGACTTTTGTTCCACTGGCTCTGTTGTTTCCTTTAGCTATGCTTAAAGAGAGCAATAAATCCAAATACACAGAACTCTACCAAACAGCACCTGGAAATAACATTCAAAGCACTACAGTCTTGCATTACATTAAAAAACCTATTTGAATGCTTATAGAAAAGAACAATTGGTAAGGCAGATCACATTAAACGCACATTCCGTTTACTTTGATATACCTGCAATTTGATCCCAACATCTTAGGAACTGCATCACTACAAGGATGTGCATGGTTTAATGCACATTGAGACCACAACGTGCTTTTATTGTACACTTAAGGCATTGTCTACATGGATGACTGAACTTTTGAAAAAAGGAGGTAACGTTCCTACAGATAGACCAGCATTTGTCTTACACTATCAAAAGTCAACCAATACCATCATATTTGTATATTTATATTAACATACTATTTATTAATACAAAGCATTAATTCACAGTACACAAATACTAGAATTATTATTAAAATTAATATTTTTAAATTATAATTTTTTTTTTATATATCTTACATTTTAATTACTATAACCTTAGTTGTAGTA